GCCGCGTTCCCAAGCCTAGTACCCAGGACTCCTATCTGCCACCTTTGATCTCTTTCCTCAGTCTCTTGCTGCCATCTGCCTGTCTCTGTGTCTCCTCCAGTTTTCTCTGTCTCTGCCAGGCAGTCCTTGAGTCTAGATCTCAACCTCAATCACACTCATTCTCAGGCTTCTGTCTGCCTTCCAGGTGCTCCCCCCCACCCCCGCCCCTCTCCAGCCCCACCCACTCACCCCTTGTCTCATCATCCCACCCCCATCCTCATCCTGCCCCCCCATCCCTGCACCCTACTCTTCCAGCTTAGGCACTCATCTGCCTCCGGAGCCCACTCCCCGTTCTAGGACAGCAAGGCAGGTGGGCAGGGGCAGGGTGTCGGGAAGCAGATGTCCCCACCCTGGGAGAAGGGCTGCTTCATTCACAGCCTTGCCTTAAACTACCCTGGACATCTCTGATCCCGACCTGGTCAGCCCCCCTACAGCTACACCTCTGTTAAGCCCAATCCCTGAACGTTAAGCCCTTTCTCTGGTAACCCCATGTCACTGTATGTCAGACCTGGAAAGGGCAGGGGCCCTACTGGGGGCTCCAAGCCCTGCTAGCATTACCCTTCCTCGCGTTCTCAACCCCAGCTGCCCTGCTCAGACTGGACTGGCTGCAGAGTTCTCAGCTTGGAGGGCGGGAGGAGAACAGGCAGAGTCTGGCTGGTGGGCAAGATGTGGTTGGCTGCTCGCTGTTGTAGTGGGTTCTGGACAGTGGGTGTCTGCTTCCTTGGCAGTCTGAGCTTCGGATCTGAATGTGTTGGGGGTGGGGAGGCGAGGGTGGTAAGAGTTTCCTTGACCCCGACCTTGTCCTGCAGGTGAGGACCCATGGGGTAGCCCCAGCACCTCTGCCCCTGCACCCCAGCAGCTCATGGGCCTCCCAGCCTGGCCCAGCCTCAGCATCCGGGGCCGGTGAACCGAGGCCGGGCTGGAGCCCAACATGTGGGGCCTGGTGAGGCTCCTGCTGGCCTGGCTGGGAGGCTGGGGCTGCATGGGGCGCCTGGCGGCCCCAGCCCAAGCCTGGGCAGGGTCCCGGGTGGGGCCAGGGCCTGGCCTAATGAGGACACGGAGGAGCTGGGTCTGGAACCAGTTCTTTGTCATTGAAGAATACGCCGGTCCCGAACCTGTCCTCATTGGCAAGGTAAGGCTCGCCCCTTCCTAGTCGACTCTGACTCTGGAGGTCCTTGGGTGCTGCATGGCAACCTCGCCACTCTGGCATTGACCTGGTCCCCCGCCCCCGGCCCCCAACTCCCAACACATCCCAAGCCTGGTCTCTTGAACTTCTGTTCCTGCCCTTGGACCTCTACAGCTGCACTCCGATGTGGACAGGGGTGAGGGCCGCACCAAGTACCTGCTGACCGGGGAGGGGGCAGGCACTGTTTTTGTCATCGACGAGGCCACAGGGAACATTCATGTCACCAAGAGTCTGGACCGGGAGGAGAAGGCCCAATATGTGCTACTGGCCCAGGCTGTGGACCGAGCCTCCAACCGGCCCCTTGAGCCCCCATCAGAATTCATCATCAAGGTGCAGGACATCAACGACAACCCACCCGTCTTCCCCCTGGGGCCCTACCACGCCACTGTGCCCGAGATGTCCAACGTTGGTGAGTAGCCCTGGCCCCCAGTGGCCTTCCCTATTGCTGTCTGCCCCCAAGCCCACCTCCTTCACCTTAGCAGCCGCCGGCTACGCTCCCCCCCCACACACACACACACCGTGGGCCCCAGTATCTGCTCTTCTTCCCCACCTGGGCCCGCCCCTGCTGAGTCGGGTACCCCTCCCCCACAGGCACATCTGTGATCCAGGTGACAGCTCATGACGCTGATGACCCCAGCTACGGGAATAGTGCCAAGCTGGTGTACACTGTTCTGGACGGTCTGCCTTTCTTCTCAGTGGACCCCCAGACTGGTGAGATCAGAGCTGGGGAGCCTGGTGGCACAGCCCCGGGGGCCGCGGCCCCCTGACCCAGTGTCTCCCCACAGGAGTGGTGCGCACCGCCATCCCCAACATGGATCGGGAGACACAAGAGGAGTTCTTGGTGGTGATCCAGGCCAAGGACATGGGTGGCCACATGGGGGGGCTGTCGGGCAGCACAACGGTCACCGTCACCCTCAGCGACGTCAACGACAACCCCCCCAAGTTCCCTCAGAGTAAGAGACTGAGGTGGCTGCTG